ATATATATATATACTTTTTTTCTAAAAATAAAATAGCAATATATCTTTCCATCTTCTTTTTTTTTAAAAAAAGACAACTTAAAACACCTTATATACACAGTACATGATCGGAAGGGGGCAGGAAAACCTGCATGCCAAGAGTTTTTTGTTTTTTAAATCTTTGTGTTTTCCGTTGATCATGTTGCCGTCGCTCGTACAAAGTGAGATTAAGAAGGTTAAGGCAGAACAGAAGACAGCCAGAGGCTGGGGGCCTCCCTAGGCTAAGGTAGCCAATTTTTGATTTTTATTTATTTTCCCTCTCTCTCTTCTCTTATTTCTTCTCTGTTTCGGTTTTAGTGCAAACGCATACAGGGCTTGTGTTAAAGTGTTGCTGCCACGCATGCTTGAACCCGGGACTCCGAGGTTCAAGCACCGCGGTCTGATACATCCCACCCTTATCTTTGGAGGGGGGGGGAAAGAAAAGAAAGAAAATTTAAATAATTACAGACAAGGTGCGGTATCTCTAATTGGGAGGAAAGTAAAAAGACTAACGAAGAGGAAAAGACAGAAATGAATATTACAACCTATGTTGGTTTTCGACCAGTGATGGTGTTCTGTGGAGAATCCTCGACATGGCTGTTGAAAGAACCTTGTTAATGGTTCTCCTCCACAAATGGGAACCACCTAAAATTCTCCCCACTGAAGCCAGGTAACATTTGCAGAATTTATTATCCAAACATATCCAGGATTCTTGCAAGGAGCAGGCATGGCTGTTGAACTGTCAACACTGGCCGCACCCAAACATGACTTTGATGTCTCCAACGTTGTGCGGTCTTGTCCCAGGGAAAGGACAATCCACTCTGGGTTCTCCTCAGGACTCGGAAGGGATGGTCCAAAGCCCCGAGTTGGTTCAGCACTGCGGAGAGCTCCCCAAGATTAACTTTAAAAATAACAACAACAAAACCCACGGACTGGATTCTCCGCCCTTGTGGAATCGGAGTTGCCAGCTTGCATGGATTCAGAGAGATGGCCATGTGGCGGAGAGACGGGACGTGGACAAGGAGAAATTTCTCGAGGTGAGATATGGAAGATGAACCAACGCGGAGCATGCATGGAGAGAAAGTTTGAAATTTGGGTGGGTGGGCTTGGCTGGGAAGTACAACCAAACTTTTCAACTCCACAGGGAGAGAAAAACAGTCTTGGTGGGAAGGAAAGTAATATACTGTGATCCTGGCTACTGCCTTCCAAATCTTGTCCTATCCAGCTTGGAGAAGACACTAGATTTTACACCCATGGAGAAGAAACTTATCTAAGAGCAGGATGGTGGGGGGGAAGGGATCCGTTGTAAGCTTCTACTAGGTGTACAGGGTTCAAATCTTTTCTCTTGCCTGATTCCTGAGTTGGAATCGGGTGGGTGGGTGGAAGGGTAATGTCCATATTGGGAAGAGAGATACTGTAATTAGGAAGGAATATTGTCTCTTAACGGGTGGTTTTGGAAGGGAAAAGAGAAAGCAAGAGAAAGGGACCTAATAGAGAGAGCGAGAGCAAGAGAGAGAGCTACACAGTGAAGCTGGAAGAGATACCACATCTTTCAGTTAGAATAATCTCAGGTAACTATTTACAAAATCCACGCTAAGTTTTTGCATATGCCGTTGATCTAAGTCAGTGCTAAGCTGAGGATCTCTGTGGGAAGGAAGAATGGGGGGCAGATGGGTTGGGGGGGTCCCCGTCCACCTACGTCCCCGGGACCTTCCTCAAAGATGAAAACCCATCTGAAAGCAGCCAGACTGGACCCAAGAAAGACGAGAGGCTTTCTCTGCAATTAAGGGTAGGGAACTGGGATCACTACACCACCCATTTCTGGAAACACCAGAAAACGGACAGAGCACCCCCCCCCGGTAACCTCGCCCGGGCCTAAAATCTCAATGGACAAACCCACATTTCTATGAAATTTAGCCTCACGACAAGGAAGGTCCCGAGACTTTTAAAGGCTGCGGAAAGGGGGGGGAGACCCATGAGAAAACCCACAGAGTAGCACTGGCTGTAAGACATTTAAAAATAAAAACCAACCAGAAAATTAAAAAAGAACAAAGAAAAAAAAAGAACAAAGAACAGGCAAAAATTAGGAAGGGGGAAATAAACCATACACAAAATAAACCCCATGATTCCTGCTTAAAAATTCAAGCTTCCATTTTGTGTATTTTATATATATAACTTTTTTTTTCTCTGAAGTGCAAACCACTTCCAAGGGTTGGTTTTTTTGTGGGGTTTTCCCCAAAAAAACTTTCTAAATTTGGTGTGTCACAGAATCTAATTAATTGCAGTCCTCCCCATTTTGCTCATTTCGTTGTGGCCTTAATCAGCCCAAGCAAACAAACAAACAAATAAACAGATAAAACCAATAAAATGGGTGGAATTCCACTTAAATGTTTCTTTCTCTCTCTCTTTCAAATATATAGATATATAGAGATACTGTATATCTATATATACACACAAACATACATTATCTGGTTTTGTTTTGTTTTTCTCCTTACAAAAATAAATTCAATTTTAGGAATCATTTTCAATAAAAACAATAAAACAACAATAAATTTCTTTCTGTAGAAGATGGTTTTCAACGTGTAAACATATTTGCGGCTTTCTTTCAAATATATATATTTCTTTTAAATTAAGATAAAGTGATTTCAAAGTACCCGTTCCGTTTCAAAGTGCTAAGACTTTTTTTCTCTAATCTCATTTTTTTGTCTTTTTTATTGCTTTTAAAAAATGTATTAAATAAAACACTCATCTCTTCCCACCCGACCCTGCTTCCCCCCCCCGTCTTTGCTCACTAACACACACACACTCCCTGCTCCGTGACATTTGGCCAAACAATTCACCTTTTAAAATGTTTAAATAACAATAACAACAATAATAAAAAGGAACTCTGAAAAGTGCTTTGTAAAAAACCAAAAGGTTAAATCATTCTCTCTCATTTTTAAAAATCTTTTTTTTTAAACTGTGCATTTATAATACATATTCTGAAATGGCTTAAAAGGTGTCCATGAGTTTCCAGGGGTTTTTTGATTTTTTTTTTTTTAGCTTAGAGGGAGTGGTGCCTCCGACAGATCCATTTCTTAATTTAAGATTACTGTTACTATGTATTGGTGGGGTGGGAGGGACTGAGAGTTAGTAGACCGAGCCACACGGAATTTGGACCAGAAACACCTCCTTGATCCAAATATTCACCTCTTAACGGCAAATTGGGCAACAGAAAAGATTAAAGAAAAGGGAAGGGGGCGGGTAACGGAGAAACAATCCGTTTTTGCCTCTGTGGGTTTGCTCATTTTGTGCTTGGAAGTACAGTCTTCCCAAGGCTAGCCAACTCCACGGATATTTAGTCCCCAAAGAGGGTAGTTATGGGGGCAGAGGAGTTAGAAAAGTTGTAAGGAAAATTATGGGATGGTTCTTCAAGAGGCAGGAAGGACAGCTGTGATGAACCCAAGGGGCCGTTCGCTCCCCTAGGAAAGACTCTCATGCAAACTCCAATTTTGGCCCCATTTCCCATTTTTTGGCTCCAAGTTTGGAAGAAGTTTTTGGACTCTGCTTCGGACCATGAGGGCAGAGAGGTTCTAGCCTTCGTGGTCTGAAGCAGGCATTCCACGGCCTGTTCGGGAGGGCTTCACACCCTCTCTGGCAGTTCCCTCTCTGCAGTCAACCCTTCAGCCTGAGATGCTCACAAGGGAAAGGCACTGCAAGCAGAAGCTTAGCCCGGAAGCTGGCCCTAAAACGTTTACTTTCTGGGAATCCCATTTAAAAACTCAAAGTCTCCTGCCACGGAAAACCGGTGCCCTCCGTTGTGACCTATGGACTCCGAGGCCAGTCTAGCCCCCAGTCTCTGCTGGTGCAAAAAATAATCTCTCACACCACCTGCTTTTGAAAAATTGGGAGCTGTTGACAAGGTTACTGGAGTGTCTCTATGTCTAGATTTGGGCTGAAGTTTCCAAAACAGGCTGAAACCTGGAGTATTCAAGAGAGGAACACCAAGAAAACGCACCTAGTATATGTGTTTTTTTAAGCAGAAACATCAAAAAGCTTCTGGAGACATCAGAGGAAAAAAATGATACTGGTGATCCCGATGCACCAGAGAAGGATAGAGATGATAGGGATGCAGCCCTTAAAACTTGTGAATTTTTTTAAAAAATTATATATATAATTTTTTTTTAAAAAAAAATTGCACATTTTTCAAATTAACTTTTCCTGGCAGCCTTAGGGACAGTATTTAAGATTAAATACTTACAATCAAGAGTCTAAAGCCTTTCAGAGAATGTTGGCATCTCAGGCTGGGGTAGGTGTGGGTAAGGAACGGTAGAAGGAAGGAAGGGATAAAAGATTAAAAAAAACCAAGCTTCTTCAATTTTTTTTTCTAACCAGTCAACATACTGACTTCTCTGTTTTATGTCCCTTTGGAACAACCTATCGGCTAAAAATAGACAAAATCTCAAATATATATATACATATATATATATATATATATATATATATACATTACATACATTTGTTGGTTGGTGTGTGTGTGTCTCTCTCTCTAGATAGATAGATATAGTTTTAAGCTTTAACAAACTAATATTTTGGAAGCTACATCTCATGTTTCCTAGGCCTTTCCCCTACCCTGCTTATTTTTTCTATTTGTTTAAGGAAGAAACAGGGAGGGGAGTCGATTAAAAAAAATTAATCTGTGGCTACAAAGTAGTTCATAAGAAGAGGTACGTTAAGGCTCGGGGGGAGGACGCGCGAATCACAAAGAGATATACGATAGATCTATAGGGATAATTTTTTAAAAAACAGGGGGAGGAGGGAAACCATATCCTTTTCTCTCTCTCTCTCTCTCTCTCTCTCTCTCTCTCTTTTTGGGGAAAAGACTCGGAGGAAAGTTATAACTAGATTTTGTGACACCTCTTTGTTCTTTTTTTTTTTTGGTTTAGGAGAGTTCTCGCGTTTTACCCTCGGAGCAACCTCCCGCTACATTCAAACTTCCCGACGCCGCGCCGGCGGTCCTGGCGACCTCCGCGCCGTCTCCAAAGTGCTGTTCCGAGCCGTCCTGAGGGGTGGGGGCGGTGTCCTGAGACTCGGAGGCCCCCTCCTCGCCGCCGGCCCCCACGGGGCTGGCGTCGTCAGGGTTCGCGGCCGGGGCGGGTGTGAGGCCCGCATCTCTCACCCGGGGCTTGCGCCCACGGCGAGAAGGGATCCCATTGCAGCCATCCTTTTTAAGGTGCCGGTGCAAGTGGTCGGAGCGGACGAAAGTCTTGAAACAGCTCTCGCACTGGTAGGGGCGCAGGCCGGTGTGGACGCGCATGTGGTTCTTCAGGTCGTAGTTGTGGGCGAAGGCCGCCCCGCACTGCTGGCACAGGTAGGGCTTCTCGCCTGTGTGTTTCCTCATGTGGACTTTCAGCTTGTCCTGCCTGCAGGGGAGAGAGAAAAGAAGGTCGTGGGGGTGGAGAGGTAGGATCAGTGGGGCAGCTTAAGAGCATCAGAAAGCGACTTCTTCAAAGGAGCAGGAAACACGTCAGTGCTAAGCTGGGCAAATGTCTAGCCCAGTTGTCTACCGACTGAAAGGCAGTCATTGGTTCCCCAGGGGATCTGGCAGAATCCCTTCCTAGCCCTCTCTCTCCAGATCCTTTCCCAGCCCTCTCACTCCAGAATATCTCCAGATCCTTCCCTAGCCCTCTCTCCTCAGAATATCTCCAGATCCTTTCTAAACCCGTATCTCCAGAATATCTCCAGATCCTTCCTAGCCCTCTCTCTCCAGAACATCTCCATATCCTTTCCTAGCCCTCTCTCTTCAGAATATCTCCAGATTTTTTTTCCAAACCTATCTTTGCAGAGTATCTCCAGATCCTTTCCTAGCCTTTTCTCCTCAGAATATCTCCAGATCCTTTCTAAACCCGTATCTCCAGAATATCTCCAGATCCTTCCTAGCCCTATTTCTCCAGAATATCCCCAGATCCTTTCCAAATCTCTCTCCAAAATATCTCCAGATCCATTTCCTAGCCCTCTCTCTCTCCAGAATATCACCAGATACTTTCCTAGCCCTCTCTCTCCAGAACATCTCCATATCTTTTCCTAGCCCTCTCTCTTCAGAATATCTCCAGATTTTTTTCCAAACCTATCTTTGCAGAGTATCTCCATATCCTTTCCTAGCCCTCTCTCTGCAGAATATCTCCAAATCCTTTCCTAGCCCTCATTCCCCAGAATATCTCCAGAACCTTTCCAAACCTATCTGTCCAGAATATCTCCAGATCCTTTCCTAGCCCTATCTAAAGTTGCTGGGGCATGAAATGGCAACGTTGTAGGAGCAAAAGGGACCTATTACTGAGCTACGATTTCTCCCCAAAAGAGCCAGGAGGACTCTCGGCTCTCCTGAATTGAGGGACATGGTTTAAATAGGAACTTCCCTCGAGAGCCAGGACGTCCTGAACCCAACCCATGGCGAATAAAACATGGCAACAGACGCGGGTGAAACAGAAAAGGAACCTTTCCTTTCCGAGGCAAAGCAAGCAAGGAAGCACCTTTCCCCCCCCCACCCCAACATCTCACACCTGGCGAATCCTTTTTCTCCCGGCTTTTCTCGCCCCACTCACCTCGTAAACCGAACTTTGCAAATGTTACATTCATAGGGCTTCTCGCCTGTGTGGGTCCGGATGTGCCGGGGGAGCTTCCCCGCCCCTTGGATCACCTTGTCGCAGATGGGGCACTTCTGGAATGCTTTCGCGCGAATCTTCTTCTCCGCCTTCTGAGACCAGGACGGGTAGTCCCCGCCCTCCTGGGAAGTGCTAAAATATTTCAAGTAATAATCCATGACGCCGTCGTCGTCCTTGCGGTCCTCGTCGGCCAGCTGCTGGCGCCCCACCGAATTCATCATCTGCTGGAGGAGGGTGCTGGCAGCCAGGCCGTCTACCTCCGGGGCGTCCGCCTCCTCGCCTTCCCCTCCACCGGGGAGGAAAGCCGGGGAGCTCCCCACCTCTTGCTGGTCCAGTGGAACGCCGGCCGTTTCCCCGTCCTCCCTGGCGGCCATCGCCAAGCTGCGCCCCCCGAATTGTCCATTTTGGGCCGGCGGAAACAAGGGTCCCTGGGTTGCTGCCGCCTCCACCTCCTCCTCGCCCTGCTCCAACCACCCGCCATGGTTAGTGTCGGGGTCACAGTCGTTCACCTTTGGTCTGTCGCCGAGGGTGGCTTGGGAGTAGTAATCCAGGCCGTTACACTCAGGGGCGTCCTCGTCCACCCCCTCCCGGCCACGGAAGCCGAGCCGCTGAAGGTCCCTCAAGTCCGGGTTGGTCCACGAAAAAGCGCCCTGCTGGCCGTTGATGGGGTTCGTCTGGAAGAACTCAAGGTATTCTTTTGCTCGGAGGTGGTTCCGTTGATCAATTTGATCTACTGTCTCCATCTGGTCATTCTTGGCCAGAATCTTCCGGTCGAGGAGGTCCATGCAAACGTCCCGGACGGCTGGGATTTCGAGCAGCGTGGCGGCGTCCAGGATCTCCCCCACATTGGAGGTGCTGACGGTCAGCGTGGCGGTGTAGGCAAACTCCAGCAAGGCCGAGAGGGCCTCGGCGCTGACAAAGTCTATCTCGTACACGTTCTGCTGGTCCACCACCAGTCCCGAGGTGAAGAGCTTCTTGAAGTACTGGCTGCAGGCCGCCAAGACGGAGCGGTGGGTGGGGAACTCCTGCCCGTCCACCAGGATCACCACGTCACACAGCAGCCCGTGGTTGCGCTGTTCGTTAAGGCTGCTGAGGATGTCGGTGCTGTGGTCCGGAAAGGGGATCCCGATCGGACCATCCACACCGCCCTCCATGCTGGCACTGGGGGGCCTGCAGGGACAGAGAGAGAGAGAAGACCCCAATCAGCAATCAATCCAGAAGGTTTAAGCGATGCTAGTCCTCATGAAAGGCCAGCTTGCAACAAGAAAAAAAAAACGAGGTGACAGCGGAAGACTTAACAACTCCTAGGTGTTATCCTTTTTCCAAATGGTTGCAGGACGCCGGCCACCCAGGCTTTGGGAAACAGCAGGTATAACATCCCATGTGTGCTCATCCGATGTCTGATCATCAAGGCAACTCGCTGGGCCTCAGGCTTTGGGTCCAGAGACTGCAAAGTCCAAGGACAGCCTGTTAACAAAGCTGGGGCTAAATTAATTCTGCCACTTCTGTGGGGCTGAATTTATTTCCCCTTTTCTCTGTGATACAGAGGAGATGCAGGGTGGCTCTAACAGGACTTCAAGAATTCCAAATTATTCATATCCCCCCCCCCCGTGAGGTAGGGCTTGGCCAGAGAAAGAGAGAAATCAGCTGGAGGCCATTCGAGATGACCTTTAGGGTTCAGAGGAGAAGCAAACCCAGAGGGATCGGCTGCTTATTAATCCTCACAAGCTCCTCACGCCAAGCACCCGCATATTTTATTCTTCCTCCAAAAGTCACCTGAGATGAAGGACAAGAGGCTGCCTCATCTCTCCCCCCCCCCACTAAACCTTTAGCAAGGCAGCCTCTGTGGCGCAGAGCAGGTTGAGGGGCACCCCATGTCCTCCCCTGGCCCCAGCGTTGGACCTCCTTCGAAGCCAAAGAGGCCAACTAAAAAAAGAAAAGAAGACAGGAAAAAAAGGTCAGAAGCCTCCAGCTTTCTGCCGCCTGACGCAACCGCTTCACTGTGCCCGACAGCAGGGCCGGCCTTGACTGTCAGTGCTGCAGAGGTAGGTAGGTAGGTAGGTAGGAAGGAAAAGCTGATGGACAGGAAAGAGGGAGGGAACAGATGATGAATAGAAGGGACTATCTGATGATGGAAAGAAAGGAGCTGATGATGGATGGAAGGAAGGAAAAGCTGATGATGGATAGAAAGGAAGGAAGGAAGGAAGGAAGGAAGGAAGGAAGGAAGGAAGGAGCAGGTGATGAATAGAAGGAAGGAAGGAAGGAAGGAAGGAAAAGCTGATGATGAATGGAGGGAGCAGATGATGAATAGAAGGAAGGAAAGAAATAAGGAAGGATCTATCTGATGATGGAAGGAAGGAAGGAAGGAAGGAAGGAAGGAAGGGGGATTTGACGGGAGTGAGGAAGGATTCCAGCGAAGAGTTAATCTCATGTGATTCTGCCTGCAAGACAACCAGGGTGGGAAAACCAGCCACGATCATGAGACCCAGTGGAGGATGGGGCGCCAACCCACGCCCATCGAGCACAAGCGCTCCCTTGTGCAGCCAGCCTTGCTGGAGGCAACACAATCCGGATGGGCACTGGCCTCCAAGCGCTTGGCTTTCCGGCCCTGCTCCAGTCTCCGAGCTTACGAGCAAAACCACCCTTCTCTCCCTTTCTTAAGACAACCCACCCCGATTCCTTCTTACAAGCCAATCCAAAGGTTCAGGGTTCGTCCATCCTAAAAACTGGGGCCGCCTGGATAAAAAGACTGGCCATGATATGGCCAGCAAAATCATGTGCCGTGCAGCAAAGATGGCAAGCGGAGAAGTCCAGAGTTCAAATCTCACTTTGTTGCTAAAAGGGACTTAGAAGGCTCGAGTCAGTTATGCATGCCATATGGGAAATAAAAACATTGGTCTATCTTACAGGGTTGTGGTAAGAATTTCCGGCATCACACAGGAACGAAACACTGAATATACTAAAGCACTTCTGAATCCACACCTAAGTGTCCATTTTAAAGTTTCTTCTCCGTACCCTGTTTTACGGGGTGGCTAAAGTAATTTGCCTTTTATTTTCTCCGCAACCCTTTTGCACCGGCTTCATCTGTGATCTCCCCCCCCCATACTTGTTAATCTACAAATGAAGCGAAAGGGGGGAACATTCATTTTAATTTGACAGGTGGGGGGGTCCCAGCCAGGTGCCCCATGGGCAGGCCTGGAAGACGCCAGAACCCACCAAGAGAACAAAAGGCTTTTTTAAAAAGCAGATTTTGGAAGGGCGTCCCTCCATTTCCGGGACCCGCGAAGCCTCCCTGCTCTGAACGAACCCGACCCTGAATGCCAGGCTCCGGCGGCCGGCGCTGCACAGATGTTGCAATCTTTCGTCCCCGGGGTCTTCCCCAGATGCCCACATCTGCAGAGACCTTTAGAGGCACAAGACCCACAAGAGCGCCAGCGAGGGAGGGCCGGGCCCGAAGCAAGGGAAAACAGAAGCTCTCCCTGCAAATTTCGGTCTGCTCTGAATTCGTGAACGACAAAATGCAGAAGGCCAGCCGGTGAGCCACGTTCGGCCATGGCGTGCCAAAGCTGGGTACCGTAACAGAATTAGGACAATTGTCCCCTACAGCCAGATAGTTCAGGGGTTGAAGTTTCTGACTGCAGAGGCAGAGGTTGCAAGTTTGAATCCCCCACGGTGCTCCTTTGATTGGACTCGATAATATATAGGGTTCCTTTCCAGCTCTGCAGTTCTAAGATGATGATAAACAAACTTTATTCCCTAATATTTTTGGAAGAATAGAAACAATTCCACTTTCTATCACTGCTCCAAAGTTAGAAGCTGCTTCCTGTATTTGTTGGGAAATTAAGGGGCACCACGTAACACGCCAGAAAACGCAGAGAAACGGACCTCGTTATTCTCCTGCTTCTCTTCATTAGAGCCTGGGAGGACGGCGACAAATTCACACTTTTTTTTTGAACGACATATTAAAAATATCCCAAAGGAGAAATTCGCCAATTAGGGTGAAAAAGACCAATTTGCAAAGCAGGAAATTATTCGGAGGAACAATTACAAATATGTATCGTTGATGAGTGAAGGGCTTGAGAAAAACGCAACAGACACCATGAAAACCAGCGGCTGTCAAAGACGAAACAAACTGCTAGCTTGTTGCCCCCAAAACTTGTTAAACAAAAAATAAAGTGTTTTCTTAAGCAGCACCTAAAAGAAAGAAAGAAATCCATAGATTTCTGGCAAAACGGAGCTCTATCATCAATACAGCACACAGGGAGCTTTTCTATAACGCTGAGGCGCTAGATTATTGTTGCGGAACTATCGTGTCAATATAAATAAAACAATGCAAAAAAAGATGGTATAATTTATACCGTAAGTGAGTTAAGCAACATTGAACACCACCAATAAAGAATGACTGCTTTCATTTGCACCGGTTTGGAGATAAACATGTAGCTTCTCTCTTTTTCTTCCAGCTTGCCTTTGCTTCCTTCATTTCGACACACAAACTGGTTCAATCTTCTCAGTCGAGACGGAGTGAGCAGCGCCAGGCGAAGGCAGTGCCTCATACCCCGGGAGAATGACGGGGTGTAATTGTTACCGCTTGGGCAGGGCATTCTGGTTTGCTCAGTCACAGCGAGGAGAGCGGGGTGACTACGATCCTACTGGGAAAAATATATATGAACTTTCCGGCTTCCATGGGGACTAGAAACGTCTTCACATAAAAAGAGGGCTGATTTCAAGCGTGTATATATGTGCACTCGAAACTGGCCCCTCATTCATCTGAGGACGTTTCTAGTCCTCACGGAAGCCCAAAAGTTCAGGAATATAAGCTGGGAGAAAGATGAATCTCGAATGTTATCTCTTGACATCAGGAATACACAGGGTGTATGTGTACAGTGGAGGCTCGACTTACAGACTTTCCGAGTTACAGGCTTCTCTGGCCGCAAAATTTAGGTTCGACTTGCAGCCGGAGAATCGACCTACAGACCAGAAAAAAACCCAAAACGGAACAAAAACGGCCAGTTATGAGATTAATCGGTTTTCAGTGCACTGTAGGTCAATGGAGACTCAACCTACAGACTTTTCGACTTGCAGCCACCGGTCCAATACGGATTAATTCCGTAAATAGAGGGTCCACTGTATATATAGGTTGTTTTCCTTGCTTTTACCTCACTTGCTCTCTTGTGATTCTTGCACCTCTACATATACACACCAGAGATGGGGATGAGCCACCAAAACAGCGATTTGTCTTGGCTCGTGGTTTGTCGAAGTGGACGAACTACGAAATTCCCTGCAGTTGATCGATGAACCACGAATCGGTTCACTGGTTTGGGGGGCTTTTTGTTTTTAGACAAACAGTGGCTGTCTTTTTTTAAAAAAAGCCTAGTCCCCCGCTCCCACAGCCCAGGACAACCTCCTCCCGTTGCCCTGTCACCTTCCGATCTTGGAGGCAGTGGGGTGGGGGCAGTGGGGGCAAAATGAGCCAGGAAATTCGTTGCATAGCCCCAAAATTCACTGTTTTGGGAAAGTCTGAATTCTCCAGTCTGGACGAACTCAAAGCAACGAATTGGCCATTTCCCCCTAAATGTCCTGGTTCGTTTTTAGCTTCCTCCCCATTTCTAATACACACATACTGTATATGTATTCCTGATTTCAAGAGGTCCTTTCAAGATTCATCCTTCTACCCATGAAGACTAGAAACTTTCTGTGAGCTGAAAACGGATTTCGGGCCATGCTTCTGGAGACGTTTCGACCCTATGGCAGGAAAGTCAGGGAAACAGGGTGGCTTAACGGGTAGGGCTCCGGGTTCACGAGTCAGGAAATGAGCATTCTGATCCCCCACGGGGAGTCGAGGCCCACGGGGTAATTTAAGGGTACCCTCTCACTTTTTCACCTTGCCTTGCTTGCTGGATCGGGGCGAGCAGAAACGTGGGAGAGATCAAGGAGGAATGACAATAATTAAAAAAACCCGACGGAATAAGCAGAGGCGGGAAGGCTCCCCCACACAGCAAGTGCTCCGCCAAGCAACCGGCAAGACAGGTCCCCCCTAAAAAAACCCAGCCACCAGCCTTCCTCGAATCCGCCTCTGCCAACCTCCGCAAGGCAGCTAAGCCGAACACCGAGAGAAAATCCAGCCGAGCCGGCTGGTCCGCTCCGCAGGCATCGGCTTGGGGCGGGTCTTCCCCACACCGAGAAGCTGGCAAAGCTTCTGCCACTGACGAGGTTTCTTTAAAGACTAGGGCAGGTCCCTCACGAGGTGTTGCAAGACCGGGGGGGGGGAGATTGGGAACCACCCGAAGGAGCTTCGTGCGGGCCTTCCTGCTCAGATCCTCCGGGAACCCACGTGCTGGGTCTCCCAGGAGTGTGGCCCCCAAGCTGAGCATCAAGATGGGGGTGGGTGGGTTGGCTCAAGTTTGGAGGGGGATCTGCTGCCTGTGGGGGCCAAGCTGGCTACCGAAATCGTTAACCAAAAAAAACCCCTCCCATCCATTCTTTGGGTGGGTGGGGGGGATGGAATTTCAAGGCTACATTTCCTTCTGCGATCAATTGCAAAGGTGAATCCCAGCTCCTGCAGATTCCAAATAGTGCCTTTTCCAGGCTGGGAAAAGTATATTTTTGGAGCGCAAAAGATGGTCCTTTTAGCCAGGTGTGTGACCCTCATGGGTTGACTGGGGGGGGGTATTCAGCCTGGCCTCCCTCACACAGTCGTTGTGAGGAATGAAATGAGGAGCTGAGAGCACCACCGGCTCCCCAACTAGAGGAAGGCGGGGGGGGGAATAGACTGGTTGTTAATTAACTGAATGATCAGGCAAACAGATATCAGAGCAGGCCACAAATCAGGACTGGTCGCCAGAGGCGAGCGGGACGGGCATGCAGGCAAGCACACGCTAGAACACCAAACCAAGGTTTTGGATTTTCCTGTGTTTGGGGTTGCTGAACGGCAGTGCTGCAGCCCTAGCCCAGGTCTACTCAGAAGTAAGCCCAGAGTGAAGCGGACTGGAGCTGATATCCCGGGAGGCTCCAAGGTGCCAAAAATCATCCAAGTTGTTCAGACCCAGGTCCCGTGTGCGAGGACCAGGAAAGATAAGCAGTCCAAGGTCACCCAATGACCTTGGACGGTCAAGTAGGAATTCAAACCCACAGGTCTGGAGCCCCAAACCCTCCCTCTAACCATTACGCCACCCTGTCTTCCATGGTCTATGGTCTCTCCGCCACTTCTGTCCGCACTCGAAATGCAAGCAAGGATTTTTTTTTTAAATAAACGTTTTCCCGTCCAAAGCCCAGAAGGTCTAGATTTTGGGCGACATGTCACGCCATTCGGAGGACACACATTTTGACTTTACACCGTGGCCTCACATGAGGTGTGAAAGAAACGCAATCCCGGCAGGAAATGAGCCTCGTAAGAAATTCCTAGCAACTCCCAGGCACCTATTATTAGGAGTCCCACCCACCCACTCGCCCCTTCTCCTTCCTGCAAGACCAGACTGGGAAGGGCAGCTTTTTAAAAAATGAGGAGGGGAAACCAGAGAGAGAGAGAGAGAGAGAGAGAGAGAGAAAGAAAGATTTTTTCCTGCTTGTCCGGGCTGGAAATGAGAGAATAAGGGAGAATATGTTTTCCCCTTGTAATTACAAGCCCTAAATCCACTTTTCCCAGAATGTATCCACCTTTTTTTTAAACTGTCCTTTTAGGTGGCTTAGTTTTGCAATCTTTTGCTTCCTGTCTCGAGCGGAAAGGACCGCCTGGCGGTTTTAAAACTACAATGCCCATCTTCCTTTGCCGCTGCCCAGGGATGATGGGACCTGGGGGCCAAAAACAGTGACAACAAGTTGTCATCCCCTTTTTAAAAATTTCTTGACTGCATCTAGTTATCTTGGTAAAGCCAGACAGCCTGACACTTCGCTGCCACCATCATCATCATCGTTCAAAAACACCAGGTACAGTTAATCAAAAGTATATAAACATTGTTGTTCTGGGTTTTTCGAGCTCTTTGGCCGTGTTCTGAAGGTTGTTGTTCCTGACGTTTCACCTGT